ACGACTACTACTACTACGACTACTACTACTACGACTACGACGACGACGACGACGACGACGACTACTACTACTACTACCACCAGGTGCCACCAATACGACTGCTGATCCCGCAACTGCTTCTCCCACCACCACCACCCTGTGCACCCAGGCTGGAAAGACCAAGCAGCTTGTCGAGGCTGTGCGCCCCTCAGTGATGGATGGCCGAACTTTGGGTCTTTAGGCTTTTCTTGAGACTTTGGAAGAGTTTTTTATATGAGGGTTCCTACTATTTGGGGTTCCGGGCTCGGGCTCCCAGGTTTGGGCTACTAGGGTTTCGGAATTGCCGTCCTGTTTGAGGCCTCCGACGGGTCTACGGTCTGATAGCATGCGTCCCGAAGAATTTGCATGTTCCCGGAACTTGAGGCTCACGGAATTATAGGTTTGATTGTCTCGTCTCGGGTTTTATATGCCGAGGCTTCGATTTGACCGTTCACGGGCTTCAGCAGCAACTCAGGAGTATACAGCTCAGCAGGGTTTAAGTTGACAGCATTGTCGTGCCTGCGTGCAATTAGCTCCTAGCAGTCGGCAATCAAGAATGAGTCTCTTTGGATTGTTTTCCAAGCGCTGGAAGAGACCGATGTTGCGTTTAATTGGATGTGTACGGAGTCCAACTCGACTTGTTAAGGTGAAACCTGAAAGTCTTGCTGCTTGGATGCCATTTGTGCCCAAGAGCCTTCGCAGGTAAGAAGTGAAAGATGCGCACCCGACGCGGCTGTCACGGACCGAGCTTCTTTGTTGCCGTTCTGATGTCAGGCTTGGGACTTTAATTGTTGTGGAGTAATAATTCGTGACACCCTCCCCTTCCCGAGCCCCGATAGAACTGCAGTATGCCACAGCACGAAAACTTACGTAGCATTTTCTGTACCCGAAGACCTGCATCATATATCACTCAAGTGTTTCAACGTAAACTTAGCAGCGAACCAGAAAACCCTGAAGCGGTTCGAACCCATACCATGGAACTGAGCCCTAAACAACCCTGAACTAAAGGCAAAGCAATCGAGACGACAAAACACTCACACCCGAATGCTCATATGCTAACGTGCATATATATATATATATATAGACATTATACCTACATACGTACATACATACATACATATATACATACATGCAATGACCAGGCTTCTCTCGGCATTTCTTCGCTCAAGGCAGGGTCAGTGCAGCACAGGGGAACTCGGCAAGTACTGAAGATAGAGGACTTCCTAAGCGGGCTCCTAGTTCAGAGATTGGAATGACGTACCTCGAACCTCATCAGAGATGTTGGATGTGGGGGGTGCGGCTAAAGGCTGAGAGTACGCCGCAACCTGCGCGAGGTTTTTATGATGCACGAATCGCATCGAGTCCTGCTGTCTCCCCTGTTTCTCTTGGTATGAAAACCCGAGATATGCATCTGAGCATCCTCGTGGGATGAGGGTTGCTTCTTGCTTGTCTTTGCAGGCGGCCGAAAAACCCGATAGGTCCTAGACCCTATAGACCTGAGTCATGGGGTAGATGTCATTCAGCTCCCCACTTCGAGCTCTGTGGGCTGAGGGTTGACACTTTAGGGCTTGGCTGAAAGCAGGGTCCCCCCTCCGTCTTGGGAAAATGCCAGTGATCCCTGCGACAATTCTTGTGAAGTCGCACTCGCCATTTTCAACCGGATGCCTCAAAAGAGAACAACCCCCTCCTAGACCCCTACATGCAGTTCCTGTTGCGAACCTCTTCTTCTATGTTCTATAACTATATATATATATATATATGTATATATATATATATATATATATTAATGGCCAGTGAGAACAGCAGTCAAGACAGCTCACGGGTCTAGGGACCTCTGAAATTCGGGGCATCCTGGGCCGGGTCCTCTTTCTTGTCTGTTTGAAAGCAGGTTCTACGGCTTGCAAACCTCACATTCTGAGCTGTTTATGGGCAGGTCTTTCAACATAAATTCGGTGGCTGATAGTCACCCTAGGCTGCCAAGGCTTGTGAATTCTTGGAACTCAGCTGTGTTCGGGTCTCTCCGGGATGTACTTCGCTTGTGCCCACTACTTTGCTGATCAAGAGACACTGAATGGAATTGTGTGGTGGGCCGCACCCATGTTGAACTCTTCAACCGCAGCCTTTTCAAGCCAGAAGGTGAGATGTATCGCCAATGCCGCGGCGCATCCAACGTGTATGGTTGGTACTTGCGATTTTTCTGCCATGCCTGCACCGATTTGCAACAGGGGGCTTCGCCTTCACTTCGTCAACAGTTCCCTGGCGTGCGGACCGGGCGAGGCTGACGTTGCCGCTGCGTGCTGGCAAGGACGATATTGTTGTTCGGCTACCAGACGAGGGCATACCAGAAGGAGACGGCTGCGCGAAAACCCTGACCCCAAAGGCCCGAAATCCTAAGACCCTGAGCCCCCAAATGAAACCCTGAACCCTAAAACCATGCATCCCTGTACGTAGTTGAGGCGAACAGTCCAGTTCCTTGGCCACGCTGCAATGCGGGCTCGTCCTTGCTAAGTAGGCGGCAAAAACCCATAACAGCCCCAAGTAATATGGAAGCCTAAAAAAACCTACCGGCTTTATTCCTCAAATTCTGACAATCGTCATACTATAAAGGAGCTCGAAACCCTACTTCAATTATTCAGGCTCTGTACCCTGAAGTGCCGCAATCCTCATTAGAAGCCTAAAACCCTGGAACGCTCAACGCCGGGAGTCAACCCCAAGCGTCCAAAGGACCCAATAATCAGGTACTTAGGTTTCGGATAGTAGTTATGTAGGTTACTTTTTGGGAGAGTGTATGATTATTAGGTACTTGGATCCTTAGGGTTACTACATGCTAGAAAGCCTGAACTAGATCCTGAAGCCTGAACCCAACAGCACTAAACCCGAAACCCTAAACCCTGAACCTTAAACCCTAAACCCTTAAATCGTTTGAATCCTCGAACCCGAGAAAGGAGTGAGAAAGCTGCGTCCTGGCCCGGAAGGGCCGCCTAGTGGCCCTGCGGAGGCCGTCTAGAATTCGGTTCTGTTTTCGGCATGGTTTAGGGGTGGAGGGGGTTTTTAGGTCTTTTTGTTTTGGGGGGTGTATGGGGGTTTAGATTTTTATAAGAGTTACAAGTAAGGGTTTCGTCAGGGTTCCTCCATGCTGGGCCTAGGGTTTGGAGGTTGGAGGTCTAAACGACTGGAATTTAGGGCTAATCTTTCTTGTCTTGTGCCGCTATGTGTGGCTTGGCAGTGTTGCACCAGGTCGCCTTGCAGGTTCTGGACTGTCCCAAGTAACATGTCAAGGATGTCATTGCAAGTGCTTTCAGTCGCTCAAAGCTTTCATAATCCGGATGCCAGCGATGTGTACGGTGTAATGTTCAAAGGTGAACTGGCGTTTGTTGCGCTTGTCGGCCTTGAACCCGGAGCTATGAAGCCTTAGGGGCTGAGTAGGTAACCTTTAACCTTTATGGGGCTTTTATAATCCTACTATTATTGAAAAGGTTAATTAACCTGTTTTGGGCTTTTATAATCCTACTTTACTTGAAGAGGTTAACCTTTTGGGGCTTTTATAATCCTACTATAATTGAAGAGGTTAACCTTTTGGGGCTTGTATACTCCTGCTATAGTTGAAAAGGTTAACCTTTTTGGGGCTTTTATAATCCTATTATAATTGAAAAGGTTAACCTTTTTTTGGGCTAGGGTACTCAACCTCTAAGAAGGCGAAAATCTAAACCCAGCCCGGAGCCGCAGCTGAACCCCCACGAGGTGGATAAGGATAATGTAACCCTAAACCCTAAACCCTAAACCTTATAACCCTAAAGCCTAAACCCTGAACCCTATAACCCTAAACCCTAAACCCACGAGGTGGACAAGGTGAATGTTGGATGCTTACCTACGTCCTCCGAGCTTTCCGACCGGCTCCTTTCGGAGTACATGCTCGGCTGCTCGACTTCCGCGATTTTGAGGGGAGGGGTTTAGGGTTTAGGGTTTAGGGTGTAGTGTAGAGTTCCGCGATTTTGAGGGGAGTGTAGCGTAATTGGAGGATCATGGGACTTAGTAAGTAAGGTTATAACTAAGGTAACTCTACTATTTCCCCCAATTAAGGGACTTATAACCTTACTTACTAAGTCCCATGCTCCTCTAAGTAGAGTTCCGGATGAAGAGTCTGCAGTTGAAGAGTTTAGGATGTGGGGGCCGTTGAGGACTAGCTTCTATAGTTCTTCTGGTTCTTGACTTTCGAGCGACACTCCTACAGACTTGTCGGATGCTTGGATGACAGCGTCATTGAAGGAAGATGCCATCTGTCTAGCTTACATTGCCTAGCAGAGCCCTGGCTAGTGTATCTAATCAAGCTTGAAGAGTTAGTAGTTCTACATTTACTACAATCTTGATAATCTAGTGCTAACACTATCCCCAAAACCCTAACCATCGGATTCTGAAGTGGTATGCCATATGCCCCTACCTTGGTTGTACTGCTGCATCTCCGAAGAACAGCATAACGTGCACTTCCAACGCGGCAGTGCAAACTCATGGTTTTGGATGTAGGTCTCGTGGGCTCTCGCCAGTGCAGGTTATTCAGATGCAAGTTGTAAATTGAATTTCTCTGCCAGGTAGCAACCAGATCTTGCCTCTCAGGGGCATTCTGGGAGGCAGCGCCTATTCAAAGACACTGCGGAAGCAGGTCAGGCAGAACGGCAAAAGCAACGGCAGTGTCCTCATCTTTGGCGAGCAGGGAACGAAGAAAGACATGCTGGCCTTCCTGATCCACTATTCTCGGGCCAAGGGCAGCCTCTACTTCGTTGACTGCGGCGGGGTGTCTGTGAAAGGCGCTCGAATCTTTGGACGGGCCCGTTCTTCTGGACTCTTAGATCTGGCCTCTGAAGGGACGGTGGTGTTCAACGACGTTGACAAGCTGAACAAAGCCTTGCTGCCACGAGTTCTGCAGCTGGCAGTCAACGGGACATATTGGTCAAAAGCACAGCAGAAGGAAGCCAGGGTGCAAAGTAGACCTGACACCCCAGCCCCTTTGCGAAGCTCCCCGAATCCCTGAAATCAAACACCTCGTCACTGCCAAGTATGAGGGCTACTCTGGACTATAGATTCTAGGTACCCTGAACTCAAGAAGGAAAAGCAGAGCAAGCTGAAAGTGATCCTCACCGCAGAGCAGTGGAGTTCAGTCTTGCAGCTCCTTCCAAAGAACAAGGTCGTTCAGATTCTTGGCCAGCTTTTTGCACTGCTAGAAAGCTAGAACTTTTTTTTAGCTTCTGCGCTGTGATCTGAACAGTTCAGCACCAAGGATAAAAGTTCCGGCCCTGCGGGTCAGAAGAAGTGACATTTCGAGCATGGTCCAATATGAGCTTAGGCGCTTGACTCGTGGTACAGGGCGGCCTATTCCGGAGATTCAGCCCGAGGCACTGAAAAGGTTGCAGGCTTATGACTTTCCCAACAACGTCGAGGAGCTCTTTTTCTTGATTGACAATGCATATCGCAACATGGAGCCTGGTGGCAGCATCACCGCGGACCTTTTGTGGACCGCCCAGAGTGTGCAGAAGTTGGACTTGTTCAAGGCCATGATTGCGGGCTTAGGGTTTCGGGGTACCTTCGCTTGGGGGAAGTCTCCGCAGGCCACTGAAGACAGTCATTCGAAAGCTTCAATCTTTATGAACTTTGAACAGGTTCAGACTGTGTTCCTAAGTACATGAGCAGCCCTGCAGATGTTCATCCTGAAGCCCGACACCCTGAACCCTAAATGCCAAGCCCGAACCGAGACCCCTACACACGAAACTTTCGCCTTGAGTTCCCGACCCCCCCTCCCTCTTCCCGGCAGATCCCCCATCAGTCATTATTTAGTTTAGATCTATGTAGGGTCCTGTGCCCGACACCCCTAAACCCGCACATCCTATGCCCTCAACACCTGAACCCAGAATCCCAGAACTCTAAGAACTAACTTCCGAGGTGAACCCATAACCTCTCTAGAACCCTGACAAAGTCAATAGAACCTGGCATCCCCGAAAAGATCCCCCATCCAACGGCTGCAGAATCCCTCATGTAACATTGGCATCCTTCTAAGATTCTAAAGCTCTGAAGGCCTCTACACGGACCCTTATGGAACCACCTTAGTTCTCCAAAACCCAACCTTTAACCTTTTTGGGTTCTTACAATTGAATAGTAACCAGAATGTTTAACCTTTTATTTCCCTGGCCTATTGGGGGAGTAAGCCACCGAAAGCTTGAAGCAAGCCTTTCGTTCTTAGGTGAACCTGTTGGAAGTTTATCCCGGTCTCCGCCGTTTCCTTCAGTCAGACTGGCTGGAGCGCCTGCGCCTGGGCAGTTTTGGTATTCGTTGGGCAGGGTGGAGCCCGGATTAAGGCATATATATATATATACATTAATATACATATATATATAGAGAGAGAATATAGAGGCCTTCATAATTAGAACAGGGTTTTGGGGGTATAGTATACTCAATTTATAATAAGGGGCCCCTTTAGGCCCCTGTACGGGGTGCTTTAGTCTTGTTTTAGGCTGGGGCCGAGCAAAAGGGTTTGTGTTTAGGGTTTAGGGTTTATTAGCAGGTCAGGACAGGCCTGACTGGTCAGGGTCCACATCTCGAGAGAAACGGCTGCTGGATTGTTCATGTGCTAGGTTTCGCCTTTGAGCTTTGGCGATACATGCGCGAGTGGGGCTTTGAGGCATTTACACACCTGAGCCCCTTGATTGGGACTTCTTGTATGGTCATGTGGACGACGACA